GTGTACGTGTCCACCATCGCTACGAAAGGTCTTTGATCGGCGAACCTAAAAGCGGATCCAGAGCTAATAAACAGGAAAGAAAATCACAAAAAAAGATCACTGCTGTTCACTCTTTACAACGATTCGATGATCAATTGAATTCACAATCAAATTGAAGGTCCTTGTTTTCTTAGGGAACAAAAATCATTACACTTTCTTTGAGAAAATGTGGGCCTCACAAAGGAAGCTTTCCGCGCCTTGAAAACTTCACCCCTTCTACAGCATGGATACCCTAAGCACCAGGAAAAATACTCAATGGAAACACCACTTTTGAGAAAGCTGCTTCGATTAGAGCTCGATCGCTCGATAACTCTTCATTGCCCGTCTCCTATACACAAAGATTTCTTACGTACATGTCAATTTCATCACTGTGCAGCTCAAAATTGCCCGACAACGGCACAAAAGCTCGAATCGGACCTTGACGTTCGGACATTACTTCCTCGCAGTCTCCGCTCTCCTGTAAATATAACCTTGAGGAAGCAATGCTGACCTCGACGTACTTGAGAAAGCATGTGCATTTCAAAGATACCGTAATCTAAATATTTTGGGTCAAAAAGCAGTCTTCCTTCAACTGTAACGTCAATTCATCTAGTGTATTTCCTGCTCAAACAACAAAAGAACGAATACCCCGTATTGGCGAACGAACACTGTTATAGGTATGGACTTCTTCCCCAGAAAATGAGCACGGTAACTCTATGAAGCTTGCTGAGTTAGTTCCACTGACACCTCCTTATGAGAAATTCGGAAACACTGCAACTTACATTGAACGTCCACACTTGGAAACCTCTCGCCAATCCAAGAACAACCAGATCCATTCGCCGACTCGGTTGACCGGCTAAACCAAAACAAAATGAGGTACAACTGAAAGCCAAATTTTAGTCTGCCATTTTCGTCTTGTAGATGGAAGCCTATTTCGGCACCAAGCAATCCAGCAAGAAATTGCCTTCATCAAAATTTATCCTAGCATTGGGCAACAGATCAATATTCCACCCTATCACACACCAATTACGGTCGAATCTCGGAAACAAGTCTTCCTAACTGGGCTGAGTTATGAATATGCGCTATGCATAGAAGCCCTCGAAACAGGTTAACATAAGAGAAGGGACGAAAGCTTCGAAAAATCTCAAATCTCCACCTCAAAAGTCAAAATTTGGAATCTAGATATCAGAAAGTTCTACTGAGTTCCCTCCAAGCAACATAAAGAAGTTCATTTCGCTTTCGGCTCAGGTAGTAGCTTGGGACTTAGGAACAGAGGAAAATCCGGAACAGACTATATTTACCCAACTGCTTCGATTTCTAGCTAGTTCAACAGACATTTTGATCAATATTTAATCAATAGAATGCAATCATGTAAACAGCCGTTATTTCCCTGACATCCTACTTGGCACAAATTTGTTTGGCTGGCTTAATCGAAATTACCCGATTTTCGCTTATCACCTTTACGACTCAAGAACGCACAGGTGGCACCCTCGGCGCTTCCCCCGCACAATCAAAAATCACGATAGGTTGACAAAACATTTCGCCGACAGCCAAAGATATGCTCCGCTCTAAGGGGGAGCTTTAATCACATTCTAATGAAAGACAGCTCTCTGTTGATTGTGTTCAGATGAACCTCATTTTTCGCAAGAAAAAAGTCTGAGCCCTTCATTTCTAGTTGGTATGGAATCTTTTCGTCCCCCTTTCGCTTCTGGGTTGATCTCCAACTAGTCACTCACGAAAAATCATAGAAAAACGCAATGTCCTATGGGCCGATCAAACATTTCCTTAAGGGGCCCTCAAAAAGTTATGGGTCAAAGTCAATAAAAATCGATTGTCAGCAGAAAATCCCCACCTCGTTCAATGGTGTGCAGTTCAACCCATTCCACTTTCTCAACCATATGTGCTTGCGAATGATGTTGTAATGTGACGTCATGAACGAATTCGACCACACTTGACGAAAAAGATGACGTCCTAAAATCACAACATATCCCTGCCGGTGATCAATCACTGATAATCGGTACCATAATGGAAAAAAGCTGAACCCGTTCGAAACTACGGGCAGCGGGCATCAATAAACGATCAAAAACAACAAGAAGGTGGAAAAGATCATCGAAAAAGCTTAAACGTTGACGAGAACACTCACGGAACTGGTTGTGAACGAGCAATTTGACCTTTGGAGTAGTTGAGTGATGAAGTACGATCGCGTGATGGTCGAGGCGGTGCACGTGGTGCCGTCGATGCAGCAGGATTTTCTGCATAGGGATAGTCTGATCAATAGCAACGAATTGAAAGAGGCGGGGAGGAACCCCGGGCAAGTCCTCAATGGTAGGCACAAAGCACGACGACTATCGGTTTTCTCAGCAGTACACTTTTACAGCATTTCTTGAAAAATTAGAAAAGATCAGCGTCAACTTATAGCTGAGCGATTGATCTACTCATGGTTTTGCTTTGGAGCTGTCGACCAAAGCTCTCCCTACCAGCAGTCTCGAAATCACATTTTAATCCAGGTCGATACATCGGGAACAGGATTGCGACAGTATAACACAGAATAAAGGGGACATAAAAGAGTTAATAAAGGGGATGAAAACACGACATCATGAAGGCATCAACCCGACACCCATAGTTATTTGGGCAAATCAATATAAGTGGAAGGTTTATGAAACACAGAGTCAGCTGGCTGGCAATCAAAAAACGGAGTGGAGGATGTCGAAACTTTTATGAAGCCCATATTTTCATTCGTGCTCATCATTAAGCCTTCATTACGATGTAAAGGGGATACAGTGAAGACTATGACAGCTCATAAAAAGCAAGTGAAAAGAATAGATTTCACCTAAAAACTGGTTTATCACGAGCATCCTACCTGTACTACATTGTCGACGTATAATAATTTCATAACAACCACCACGAACGTCAGTTACATGGGAGAGATATTGCCAGTATAACCAGTTGAATGATCGATCTTGCACATTCAAATATGGCAATCCCTGCACATATCTAGACTCCGTAACTGCAGGATACTAAGTAAATCCCAAAGTTCACTCTCGATTTGTGGGAAAAGGTTGGTTTGTGGGATAGGGGCGATAAAATATAATCCATCTCTTTTGTTTCGCAGCTTGTGATATTAGAAAGGATCTGCTTCAGAAGCGCCCAACCCTTCTTCCCCGCTCGCAACACCGTCACCTTGGTTGTGCCTAGAATATTGAGCAGGGAATGTGGGAAAAGGTCGAATTTGCAAGTACAACCGTGCATGTATAATGGTGGGAAGCAACTAAATAACCAGTACCAGTACTGTATGTCTACAGCTTCAGTAATCTCTTGAGCAGATCAGATTTCCGGTTTGTTAAAAGTTGTTCCCAGAGCATTAGCAACAGCACGTTACCATCTTCTTTTCCTTTTTGATCTGATCTCGAAAAGAAGTTCAGTGTGTCTGATCGATTCCAGTACATTAACCCAACGATTGCTGGACACTTTTTCACACCGTACTGCCGAGAGTTTCAGTGAACGTTCAAAGTATGCGCCTATATTAGTGCTCTTTCCTCTCTCAATCACGACAAATTACTGTAAGTATTGATTACAGCTTCACATTTTCTACATTGGGAGAAAGCACAGCTACTTATATGACCGACCACAGAAAATTTAAGTTCACTAATAATCAGGAATTTTCGAAAAATCAGAGAACGTTGGTATGGCCGTCTGATCCTAAAAGTTTCAAGGAATAATCAACAATAAACTTTCATTTTACTGCGCTTTCCAAAACCCGCCACTTGCTTGAGGGAATTAAAAATAAAAGGGGAAATTGATCAAGAACAGATCAAGGTATGAAAAGAGATACTAGTTAGAAAGTTAGTTTGAAAATTGACAGACTACCTTTCCTTACCTCAAAAGATGAAAAGGAGCACAAAATGCTCATAAACCTAGAAAAGGAACTTAACCATCGTCCTAATTATTGCATAAAATGTCGGTCCCCGCAGAAATCTACCCGCTCATCCATTGCGATAAATTACGATCAACATGGCAACCTTTGCAAGCCCTCTGATGATACGGTGTCTGTTGCAGGAAATAATTCATGTATGATTAGGATTGCGTGTAATGTGGGATGAGTTACCCTACCATAAGCTTATATTGTTAGGCAACCAGTAATAAGACAAAACCAGGAAGGGTTGCATGAAACTCAAAAAGAGTTATGGGATAGCTCCCAGAATAGAAGTGGGAAGAGCATCACTGGTAGACACAGAGACACCACTAAAGATACTTAAAGGTATACCGTCTCTAAATAGTAATGCAGTGTTTCCGGAAGGATTATGGAGGGCAACACCAGGTGAAGGATGTCGGGTATTTGTTGCAGATGAATGAGCCTGGGTAATATGAAAAAAGGGAGGAAGCGGTTGTCACAAGCCTGTAAGGACCCTCCCTTATTGCTACCTTTGATTGCACACCGTGCGCAGTAAACAAAGCCACAAACCTTCGCAGGGAAACCAAACAACCACCCATTTTCCACCAAACCTCCCAACTCGTCGTACATCATTTCATTCCTTACTCCTCTCATGGGAACACCTCCGACAGCTTTTCAACGAATACTCACCCATCGCCTTCGCTTTGTGCAGCGGATTCACGCCAAAAAGTGGCGCATCGACGAGTAACAGCTCCTGTTCAATGTCCCTGGTAGCACCTTCGGGCTCGATTGACAGAATGGTGCATGCCGCGGCTGCCGCACCGGTGTCGTCCTTCATTGTCGACACCGACACCAGCGACGGTTCTGGTGATGGCGATTTGTGCGGTTGCGGGTGCACCTAAACTCGACACGCTCACATAATCGATATGGAACGTCCAACAAGAAANGTATAAACTGTTAGTGATAGGAGACGATCGGTAAGCAATTTAAGTAGGAGTCCTCCAAAGGGACACTTATTTTCAGTACTCTGCCATTTCCAGAATCTTCGAGGCTTGCTACAGTACTTTCGGAAAGATTTAAAATCAAATGGTCCCCTATGTTGCATGCATATTTTATTGCTTCGACCCCTCCGAACTTCGACAGAGCCTGTGTTCCATGAATAATCACGTGAATGGGGGGAATGGAAACATGTCATTTGAGACAAAAACGGCGGTAATCGAAGACTAACTGCCTGAAAATTACATTCACTGCAGGATGCCCACATAGCCTTTTGCATTTATTAGGATCAAAAAGACCGAAATGTACATAGGAGCACCTTGAAATCGCCCTCGACACTTAGCATGAAAAACAACAACAACAACAACAACAACAACAATAGGAGCTGAAGCGGAATTTCGAAGGAATTTGGCAGAAACACGACAGTTTGGCCCGTAAGGGAATAGGATGCTACAGCCTACTAATATGTTCCCACGAACACTCTCCCCGCACCTCTTCCTTCCCGACTCTCCACTCCCTCCACAAGGTTCTCCCTGAATACTTTTCTTCACACCAAGTTTCGTTCACAGAACACAGGTTCAACTTGCCCATGCGCCTTCACTGAAATCAATTCTAATGACTCGAAAAACTTCCACTTTGACACCATTATTGACGACAAGGTTGCACTACGGTAGTTCATAATGCAACACTACAACTGGCATCATAGATGTGAATCATAGCTTTGTGAGCAATTTTCGCTCCGAACAAATCCCTCAATCATTCGTCTATTGGAAAGCATAGCAGCCCTGTCATCTTATTGGCATCTCACCATTTTTAAGCTTGACGGAAGACATTGGCACAAAAACGAAGCCTACCCAGTTATGAGGTCACCCTCATCTCGTTAGGCTCCAAAATGGATTCTGCCTCATTCTCCGACTGTCAGGTCGNGCACTACGGTAGTTCATAATGCAACACTACAACTGGCATCATAAATGTGGATCATAGCTTTGTGAGCAATTTTCGCTCCGTCCCACAAATCCCTCAATCATTCGGCTATTGGAAAGCATAGCAACCCTGTCGTTCTATTGGCATCTCACCATTTTTAAGCTTGACGGAAGGCACTGGCACAAAAACGAAGCCTACCCAGTTATGAGGTCACCCTCATCTCGTTAGGCTCCAAAATGGATTCTGCCTCATTCTCCGACTGTCAGGTCGATAAATTTCGCAATATAGGGGTCCTATACGAAACGAGTCCTACATAGATAGACCACTATGGCATGAGTGCACTTTTTAGAACAAATTTCAGAAAACCATGGAGTACGTGGATGTAATGGAAATAGTGCACGTGGTAGATAATTAGAAATTTCTCCTTCGATTCTAATTACTTGTTACTCCTGCTATATTCCTTAGGGAAAAGGCTAGCTCTAGGGTGCCATTTCCTATGCTGTCCCTCTTCCCCTCCCATTCCCTTGACGGCAAACGGCGATTCGATGACTTCCCTCTCCACCCGGGAATGTTGAATACGTGCCCTTCGGAGCGGACCGCGACGGCACGCTCGATAATCACTATTTATGACGGCACCGAGCAGCCGTGCCATAAAAAACCGTCACCCCCAGTTATAAATCTTTCTGAAGATTATTTGTGTAATTATGTAATGTAATTAGTATGATGCAAGAAAAAAGAAACAGCTGGACAGATAGGGAATCAGACAGGTGCTGGAACAGATAATAGGGAAGAGCGCGAACCTATGAAAGTACTCTGGACTCACTTAGAAGAGACGCAGAAAATGCACTTGAACAAAAAGTGCATTTTCTGCGTCTCTACGGCCTAGGTAACATTTTCCTTCGGTCATGCGTTCACATTGAAAATAATCGGGCAACTAGATCTGCCAACAGAATATTAATCAAACGAAACCATCTCTGAATAACAGGAGGAAGCTATATCTGGTTTTCGAGTCCAAGCTGAGAGTGCTGAATAACTCGAGCCAAACGGGGATGCCGTGCAAACTTAGCTAGGGCTCACGAATCTGCTCCTATCGTAACAAATTCACCGACTTCATTAACTGCCCACTTTCCCAAAACATTGATTCTTAGCCGCTCCGACCCATGGTCACAGCTTTTCCGTTATTTCAAAGTGTCATGGTAACTGTGTGCGCAAATGATGAGAAACACCTCAGCTTCATCTCTAGGCCGGATAATTTTGTGCCTTCTACCGAAGGGAAAAGGGGCCAAAAGCTTCGAGCTCCATTTCCCTGTTGAACCTACCTAACAAACCGATTTCTCCCCTAACCAAGTCTCCTTCTCACCATGACAGAGATCCCAAAACCTAAACATTCACGAGGGTAAATAAATGTGTAGCGCATGCCAATCAACGATTTTGTCCATCAACCATTTTCTTATCTTCCGATCTTTGATCAATAAAATGAATTTTGCTCAAGGTGCATTTTTTATCAAATAGAAGCCTCCAACGGTCAAATTGGTGAGGTTGGCAATTGATTTTGTGTTGGATGCCATCATCTTTTGAAACCTACTGGCAAATCCCTCTTAATCCCCTAAGCAAAGGAACAAACAACCATTAACCATTGGTACAAATAGTCAGTGACCATTGGTACACAAATAAATAAAATATAAAAATTAATTTGATCTTTACCAAGGCCTGCGAAACGGTAATACCATCGAAAAGCCAACACTGCACCTTCACCCCGAAGAGCATATTTGCAAGAGCCCATAAAAGGCCAGAGATCTACAGGCATAAGCCCTCGTCTATCAGACTCATAACAACAAGCCAGACATATATGTATCTACGAGACCTGCAGGGCTAATAGATTAGCCACACGGGAGCGATATCCATTTTTAGCTTTAAGGTCTTCCTTGATTAACATCCGGCGGGCACGAACAAACAACCCAGTGCTCATACACAAGTTTTCCGACTTTGACCTTCTTACTCTCTTGATTATAGAACGTATTTACTGGAGTAAGCAATATGACTGCAGGACCATGGACATGAATGCGTAGGAAATAGTATAAATGAATCAGAAATGTTTAATAACAATTTAATCAAATGAACGTTGCATGTAGTTTGGAATTCGCTACAACTAAGAAAAGCAACATGCGATTCGAACTAAAAACAAATCAGGATGACTCATGAAAAAGAGGAAAACTATTCTATCTTGTCCTAAATCATGTCGCTATGGGAAACTTGGTGCGATTCCAAATCAAAGTAACATATCAGACAGTTGAGTCCATTTTTTTAGAAAAAAATAGAAAAAAAAATTTTAAATTCTAATCATTTTGAAACCAGAAGACAGAAATTCCATCCAAACTGCTCCCATCGAATCTAACCATATCCCTAACTTATTAAGTAAGTACAGTACACACAAATACAGTACTTTAAAAAGTTTCATCGAATTATGAAACAAGTCAGTTTTCTCCGAAATTTCATTCATGCTCCCTCAGTCCCACCCAGTCAGTTGCATTAGTGAATGCGATCAATGAGCTCCCGGCTGCCTGACACATGACGCAGATATACAGACTTACATACGAACATCAATGAACAACACAAAGGAGGGAGCACTTTGACAGCAGTCATTTTCGTGCATTTCAAACTAATCTTTAGCTGATTTCATGCATTTAGAAACAAAAGCCAACAGTCTAACCAGTCAAAAGCTAATTTTTAGGGGTTGCTTATTCTGAAAAGAGTCAAAAACCTCCCATCAAACCTTGCTGTATTACAGCAATAGTGTGACCAAGTGATTTAGTGCAGCAATTCATAAACGACCTTGTACATACTGCTTGGTTCAATAAATCTTTGGGAATACACCACAGTTCTGACTTTCATCCACAATCCAGCGAAAATTTGAAGGCATAACCGTTGGAGACAGAAGGATTTCTTGAAATGAGGCGATCATGCAAGTTGAAAGAAATGATCGGGGAGAAGGAAGTACTCTGAATCGGATCGGGTCATCAAAAGTCTATTGGGAAGATCCTCCCCAAATGCGTGATTACTCATGCCCCCGATCCTTCCGAATAAGCCTGGTTACAGAGGTGATAGTATGCCATAATGAGGGAGAAGATTATGACAGGGCAATCGCAATGTCGTAGGGAATTCTAAGGGGCATAAACCATGGCAGAAGCACTTCATTCCATTAGCATATCGAATCCACATCCCATGAAATCCCGGAATATATGAAAGTGCAAGCAAGGACAAATCGACATGGGCTGAAAACGTGCATTGGACTAACAATTTCGTAGTTCCAATGGACTTCCGCATAACAATTTAATCTGTATCGAATTTTTAATCCCTTTGTTAGTTTGTTGAGGTAGAAGACCTATTTCGTTGAATACTGCGAAATCACTAGTGTCAATGAACTCATTTAGCCGATACTAAAAACTTTCTCGGTCGTTGTTAACAAGGTATTGGAAAAAGTTCGAATGTAGCAATCATGGTAACGACTGCTGGCTGCTGTCTCGTATATGAAATGTGATGGGATATGACATGAGAGAAAAGGGGTAAAAAGGTTCAGAAACAGAGGAAATAAGACCATTTCTCGTTAGTACAAATTGGGAGGTCGACGAATCCCCCGAAGCGTTCATGAACCGTCCACCTTCAAACTTTTCCCAGTTCCCAGAGTGTTCGACTATATATAATTACTAATCTGAACCCCTCCCATGTCATTCCAATCTGATGAAAGCAATTTGGCAATTTTGTTGAAAGTGGAACTTGAAAGTTCAGGAGAAGGGGGGGGGGGACAGTCTACGAGATAAGGCAAACAAGCGTCTTGCGCCCTTCGTTTCCTAGATTGAAGCCGTTACGAATGCGAAACAGAGCGGTTGCTACGAAAGGGTGCAGCTCATTGACATAAGC